TTTTAGCGGACCCTGGGGCTTGGCTGGGAATGTCTTGGTACGGTTGCACACGTTGCAGGTGCTTACGTACTCATTGACAAACTTGGACATCCCAGGCCACCAGTAGTTCCGTGACACGAGCTCCAGGGTTTTGGCACGGCCGCCATGACCGGCGATCGGCGAGTCGTGGTGGATTTTGACTATATCCCGCCGGAGCTCTGCGTTCTTTGGGACGTACACGCATCTGTGGAACAGCAGAAGCCCTTGTTCAGCATTCCACTCCTCAAAACCCCTTTGCAGCCGGGGCGGCCCGAGGTCCTGCACCTTTTCAAGTGCCTCGGCCACCTCCCAATCCTTCTCTGAACATTCCCTGATGCGCTTCAGAAGCAATTGATCGGCCGTCACTGAGGCATGACCGCGCCTGGCGGAGGCGATGCGGAAGCGATCCGGTTTGAGAACCACCTGATCGGTGTTATCGTCCTCATCGCCGATCTGGTGATCTGATCGTCGCGACAGGGCATCAGCCTTTCCATTCGACATCCCGGCTTTGTGCGTGATGCGGAAGTCGAAGCGAGCCAGGAACAGTGACCATCGCGCTTGACGGCGCGTGAGATGCTGGGATGTACGCCAGTACTCGAGGTTGTTATGATCGGTCACAATCTCGAACTGATTGGGTAACCCCTCGAGGTAGTGGCGCCAATCGTCTAGCGCCTCAATGATCGCGAGCATCTCCTTATCGTAGATCTCGTAGTTCCGCTGTGCTGGGTCCATCGCATGGGATCTGAAGGCAATAGGATGCCATTTGCCATCGTCCTGCTTCTGCATCAACACGCCGCCAGTGGCATATCCTGAGGCATCGACCTCAATGCGCGTCTCCCGATTGGGATCGTACAGTGCTAGGACTGGAGTCGTCGCGAAGAGCCGTTTGAGCTCGTCGAAGGCGTGCTGCTCCTCTTCGCCCCAATGCCATGGGTCGTTTCCTGTGAGCCGGTCGAGTGGTCGCGAGATCTTAGCGAAGTCCTTAATGAAGCGGCGGTAGAAATTGGAGAACCCCCGGAACTTCTGAACATCTTTTTTGTTCCGGGGTACTGGCCACTCATTGATTCCTTTCAGCTTCGCGGGATCCATCGTTACCTCATTGCCACCGAACACATAGCCGATGTAGTTGACCTTGGGAACATCCCATTCACACTTCTCAGGCTTCAGGAACAGATTGTTGTCCTGAAGGCGACAAAGAACCTTGCATGTGACCTTTTTATGCTTCTTTTTGTTGGTGGAGAAGATGAGTATGTCGTCCAGGTACACGAGGATCTTGCCGCTGATGATGAGATCGTGGAAAATCTCGTTCATCATCGCCTGGAAGGTCGCGGGGGAGTTGGTGAGACCGAAGAACATCACCAAGGGCTCGTACAACCCTCGGTTGGTCACGAAGGCCGCTTTCCACTCGTCACCGGCTTTGATCCGGACGTTGTTGTATCCCCATCGGACATCGAACTTCATAAAGAGCGTAGCGCCACGGAGCTTGTCCACCATTTCGGCGATCAACAGCAAGGGATAACGATTTTTGACCGTGATCGCGTTCAATCGGCGGTAGTCCTGCACGGGTCGAAGTGTCCCTTCCTTCTTTTTGATGAAGAAGAAGGGGGACGAGATTGGTGACTTCGACTCCTGTATGTAGCCCTTCGCTAACTGCTCCTTTAGGAACTTATCCAGTTCTTCCTGCTCGTTGTTTGACAATGGGTATACCTTTGAATGGAACGTGAAGTAGCCGGGCACGAGTTCGATTGCATGATCGTACGGCTTCCTTTCGGGCAGCCGTTCTGATGCTTCCTTGGAGAAGACATTCAGGAACTCGTGGTACTGCTTGGGCACCGACTCCTCAGCGGTTTTGACGACTTTCTTTTTGATTTCCTCCTCAGCAAACAACTGGGAGTACGTATGCCCAGCTGCAACGAACAGCTGAGGGGCACCAGGGAGTGTAATACCTTGCTCCCAGGCCTCAATCAAGTCGGCTTCGTCCCACTCTACCTCCACCGGATCTTCTTCAGGTTCGAAGTCCGGGAGTACCTTACTCCGGCAAGCACCTATAACTGACCGTTTGGACTTCGGCGAACGCCTGCGCGCCGTGGGCCTGACCCCCGTATCACGCGCAGTCGCTGCTTGCTCCATTCGACCAGTCCTTCTGGTACTGCACGTTTCCGGGCATCGCGACAATTTGAGGGAGCCTTTCTCCTAGTCAATTTCGGGGTTGTGCTCGCGTAGCCAATCCAACCCTACGATCACATCCTCTGGACCAATGTCCGTGACCGTAAACACTGTCTTCTCGACGTGTTCTCCTATGTGCATCTGTAGCACTGCTACTTCCGAGATGCTTCCATCTTTGTTTAGGGTGCCGTCGATATTGTATAGCGGGATCGGTTCTTTTAATTTCCGTGTTTGCACCTTATTCTCTTCAATGAACCGCTTGTTGATAAACTTGGTGGTGGCTCCACTGTCCACCATAGCGATTATGTCCTTGTGCTGTCTTTTTCCTTGAAGTCGAACTGGGATGTGAAAGTGCTGGGACCCCTGGTCCAACTCATACACCATTGCAGTCGACAATACATCATACTTGTTACAGGATATATGCGGCCCGACGCGTGCGGCACGAAGCGCGGACCGGATCAAAAACCCTCCTCCTTCATTGCCCGATAGTGCTCGAGCTCCTCACGCATCGACTTCACCTGTGCCATTAAGTCCGCCAACTCCGATTGCTCGGATTTCGCTGAAGCGGCACTTATACTTGCCGAGGGTGTTGTCGTGATGGGGGCGCTTGTCGCAGCCTGGGTGGATCCCGAGGCAACCGTAGCCCGTGCATCGGCGCGTTTTGTGTAAGGTTTGTCCTTACAATTGGGGCACTCGAAACGTCGGTACCCTTGCTTCCCACAGCCGAAGCATGTGCCGGGGAAGTTGCCTTTTCCGACGGCCGCATTGATGCTGGCCAAAGCTGCGTGTGACTGGGGTGCACCACCACGTGCCCCACCACGTCCTCGACCTCAGGCCGAGAAGAAATTGTTCAGCTCGGGCTGACGAGCCCGGCTGATGTTGAGGATTTGCTCGACCTCAGTGGCGCGCTTCTCAGCTGCTTGCCACGTGGCGAAGGTTTCGAGCTCGATCTTCTGGTACACGCGGGAGGGGATGCCGCTCAGGTACTTGTCGCGTAGTTCCAGGTCCACATACCCGGAACGGTCCGCCGGACCCTTGAACAGCGCGGAGAATTCCACGGCAGTGCGTTTTTCGCGGACCGATTTGTCCGCGCAGAGCTTTGCTAGCTCTACTTGTGCCGCCGCCTCGTCGTCGAGATTTCCGAAGCGGGCCCTGAAGGCGGCGGCAAAGGCCGCTTCGTTTGCGAACGGGGTCGTAGCCCCTTGCACACCCACCTGCACCGATGCGAGCTGGGCAAAGTAGGGAGTGGCCCAGGCGCGGGCATCTCCATCGAGCAGGCTGAGTGCGACCTGCACCTTAAGCTTGATGGTGGTCAACGACGTGTTGACCAGCCAGTAGATGCG